CCCAGCACCGACCCCTACGGAGGCTCCACCGAGGAGAACAGCGAGGACGAGGAGGGGGAGGGGGAGCAGGACGAGCCCATCCCCCCCCTGCCAGGTGCGTGCCCCTCCCCCCACCCTTCCCCTCCCCACCCCCCTCTTTTTGCTCACCTGGCCCCTCCCCCACAGATTTCTTTCAGGACAAAACGTTTTTTTTCCACGGGGAATTCCCGGAGGGGGAGGAGCGGCGGCTGCTGCGCTACGTGGTGGCGTTCGGGGGGTGAGACTGGGGGGACTGGGATGGACTGGGATGGACTGGGAGGGGATTGGAAGGGACTGGGAGGAACTGGGATGGACTGGGAGGGGACTGGGATGGACTGGGAGAGACTGGGATGGACTGGGAGAGAATGGGATGGACAGGGAGGGGATAGGAAGGGAGTGGGGGGAACTGGGAGGGGACTGGGAGAGACTGGGATGGACTGGGGGGAACTGGGAGGGGATTGGGATGGACTGGGAGGGGACTGGGATGGACTGGGGGGAACTGGGATGGACTGGGAGGGACCGGGAGGGGACTGGGATGGACTGGGAGGGACTGGGAGGGGATTGGGATGGACTGGGAGGGACTGGGATGGACTGGGAGGGGATTGGGAGGGACTGGTTTATACTGGGAGGAACTGGGAAGCACTCGGGACTAGGAGACCAGACTGGTTTGTACTGGTTTATACTGGTTTATATTGATCTGGATTGAACCTTACTGGTTTGTACCAGTCCATACTGGTTTTTACTGGTCTGTACTGGTTCATACTGGTCCATACTGGTCTATACTGGTTCATACTGGTCCATACTGGTCTATACTGGTTCATACTGGTCCATACTGGTTTATACTGGTCCCCAGCACCCTGGCCCCGTACATGGACGAGTCGGTGACTCACGTGGTGACAGCGCAGGACTGGGACCCCGCCTTCGAGGAGGTGTGGCCGGAAGTGGGCGTGGCCTAAAGGGGACGGGACACGTGGGTGTGGTCGGGGTGGGCGTGGCCTCTCTAAGCCCCTCCCACCCCACCCCCTCCAGGCTCTGGAGCTCCGCCCCTCGCTGACCTTCGTGCGTCCCCATTGGCTGCTGCTCTGCGGGGAGCGCCAGCGCCCCCTGCCGGCCCAGCCCTACGCCGTGGTGCCCCGCGCGTGACGTCACCGCTGACGTCACCGCCGACGTCACTCGCACCCCTCAGGTCGAGATTAAAATCGGTTTGGAATAAAAATGAACGGAGGGGGTGGGGTTTGGTTTTTTTTTTTCTTTTTTTTTTTAAAGTGGGCGTGGTTTGGGGAAGGGGGGGTGGGGCCCACCTGAAGGGCGTTGCCCTTTTAAGAGGTTGGTGTGGAACGGGGGTTTGGAAATGTAAAAATTTAAATGTGAAAATTTGCATAAAAGTTCATGAAAACACACGAGTGCAAAATAAAAATGCATTAAAGTGCACATTAAAAATTTATCATAAATTACAGATTTATTGGATTATTAAATTGCAAAGATATTTATTAGATTATATAAACAGATAATGTTTATTAGATTATATAAGTAAATAAGAAATTATAGAGATTTATATTAGATGAAATAATTATAGGAATGAATGGATATAAAAATACAGAAATAAATAATAATACATATAAAGGTCATCACGCATAGTAAATTCATAATAAAATAAAATAAATATTAAAAAATAAAGAATAAAAACTATAAAAAACGTAATAAATACCTGAGATATCTCAATAGGGAAAAATAAACATATAATGAGCAAATTAAACATTAAATTG